CCCTTCGCTGGTTGCTTCAGACAAAACTGACTTAAATTTAAAGTTTAAAAAACCTACAAAATACCGAGAACTATCAGTATGAATAAGCTTCTAAGAAGATGATTGTAGTAGAATTCTTGGAATCTCATTCCCAGGGCTGCGTTCTGAACCAGAAATGTCACTAATCTTAGTGACTTCACCAGACAGCCACATAACATAGCAACCCCAATCTCGGCTGATATATCAGCCCTTTTAATGGATAACCTGTTTGTCTGCTGGCGTCATTCATACTATTAACGGTTTCAGTATGTTCTTGTCCTTGGGCCGTATTCTCGAAAGGTTGTACATGTAACTTTCGTATTTTTTATAAATTTTCACGGAAATACTTTCAAATTGTTATAAGTTACGAAGTTTTGAGAGTAGGGTCCGCGAACTAGAATAAAAGCAACATACACATTGTGTACAATATAACAAAAAGGGGATACATTTTTCTTCATTAATTTTCAATAATGATGTCCCTTTTTGTATTTTATTCAATTATTTTATATACAACATCCCAAGATCTCTATACACGCACCATTTTCTGTCTTGATGCAAAAAAGTCAATAAAATATTTTGAATACATAAGAACTCAAATTCCTTGTGAATACAAATGACCTCTTATTTTTTCACAAAAATACCAACAAACCAAAATCGGCCATACCCATTTGATCTCTGTACAAATATCATACCAATTTAAAAGCAGATACATAAAAATTGACATTTACATAAGCACTTCTCAGTTTCAACCAAAAGTCAAATGTCCCTTTGACGTACAACAAAATATAAAACCGACTTAACCATAAAAAGGACGTCAGCCAAATTGTGGTAACGGTAGTATAAATAACCTAATACCTATGTTTAAAAAACCCTTACTGAGGTAAGATTTGACAGAAAACTACTAGAATTAATCAGATGATATGTTGGGGGTGGGGGTGGGGGTGGGGGGTGTCTACTTAGATCCATAGGACTAAGGCTCCGTTCACATGGAAAGTCTATTTTCTAAAAATCTATTTTCTATTCGCGGTATCTTATGATCACGGTCTGTGCCCTGAATATCGCGCGGCGTAATTACTGGCGGCGCGAGCCAGTTACTTCCAAAGCTGTCATTAATTCTCGGGATATTCAGGGCACAGGGACCGTGATTACAAGATACCGCGAATAGAAAATAGATTTTTTAGAAAATAGACTGTCCATGTGAACGGAGTCTAAGTCCAAATGGAAACCAACTGCTTTTTACATGTTTGAAGAGTACAGTTTTGTCACATATTCTTACATTTTTATCACATATAAAATCGCCTTTATTATTAAATCTGGCTTTCCGGTTTCTGCTCTGCCTTTGAGGATTTAAACAGTTACCTTCATCAAAAGTTTGACATCACTCAAAATAAGCAATCACAATTCTTTTCCGTATCTTATAGATAATAGTCAAGCCGGTGTAACATTCAAGTTTCTCCCTGTCAAACTTGCCAGTTTAAATTCTAGGCTAAAACCTCTGACCAGTCTCTCAGGGCAATGGGGATTTCATAGCATTTTTTTTGTTTTAAAAACTATAATAATAGAAATGATGGAATTGATAGCACCAAATACCAGCGAGTGACTATATTCCTAGTAAAGAGTCACTCACCCTCAATTTTATAAAAGTTCACAGCCATAAGGGTGAATATTCCAATTTCTATCAGGTCTGAAGAAATGTGTGGTATACAATTAAAACAAAGTTAATCAACACTGTACAATATTAATGTTTTTCATAGGAGATCATTTTCATCAATTAAAAAAAGTTATTTCTTCGATAAAAAAATAAACAACAAATAAAAAAACACAACAGTCTTCCCTTCTTTGGCAATTTACAAAATTGAAAAAAAAAATTTTCCATCAGGTTTTCCCATGGTCTTGACTGAACATTTTACCAATTTCTTCATTATCTGTATTTTTTGTGCAAAAATCCTCTCATAAGCCCTGATTAACATCTGGTCTGGATGTTTAGAGGTATTCTATCCTCATCCTCCTCCCTAAATAAAAAAAAAATGAATCAAAAATATTTTTTAAAAACCTGACATTTATGTGACTGGCCTCCTTTGGTTAGATATGGCCATTATTATCAGCAGTGTGCTCAGATATGATTTAGGATTGCTAGAAAAAAAGTAGAATGAAATGGGAATGTGGGCTTACAACAAATTTCTGATTTAAATTTTAAAAAAATCATGTGGGTGTGCTGATAGAAAATACATACATTAAGCTGTCACAAATTGAATGAAAATGAAGTCTTATGTATCTACCAGTATGTCAATGGTCTTTTACAAAATTTCCTTTCAGTAAACTTTACCTTATTCAGATTTATTCCTATGTCATCAAACCTCTTCATACCACCGTCAGAATCAAAGTGTCTTGCATGCTATTTTTTAAATAAAAATACTGTGTTCAGCACTTGAGCCATTTTCAAACTTACTTTAGAAAGTTAACAGTTTGATTGTAATTAAACACAGTCATGCTGGGAGTCAGTATTCTCCTTCAGTGAACCCAATGACTTCTAAGGTGGACTTAACCTAAGACTCAATAATTTCAAATTTATAGTTAAATCAAACCAAGCTATTTTGTAGTCTATCAAACATTTTATCTGAACTTAGCCCACAACTCACCGATTCTTTAACTTCCCTTGTATTAGCTTCCCTTCGATCAGCTTTAATCTTGAACAGATAAGAAACCACTATGACTAAAAATTGGCATTTGCAAGAATCAAAATTATTGATTATAACAATTTAGATTACAACAAAATACCTTTATTTTTAATAAATAGCCTTTTTTAGTAGAATTGCAACCAATGAAATAGCATTCTTGGATCTATCAATAAACACAACAAAATCTAGAATCTAGAATGAAAAAAATAAAAATATTAAATAATTATCTTAGAACGCCTATATATTTAAATCATGATATCTACCTGTTCACTAATTCTTTTCCTTTCTTCTTTTTCTCTCTTCAACTGAGCCTGTTGTCTTTTTCTTTCAGCAGCAATTTGCTTTTCTTTTTCAGTAAGCTGTGATAATAAAGCAACAAAAAAAAATTCTTTTTAATCTTATGAATATGAAAACACGCTTTTTTGGTACAAGTAAAATGCCCACCTTGAAAAAATAATTGATCTCACATAACAGGCCTGTAGCCAGCAAATTTTAAAGGGGGGATCTTTTCTGAAACTTTTACCATGAAACCTTTGTGTACCTACAGAAACTTTTACCATGAAACCTTTGTGTACCTAGATCAAATTTTACCCACAGTGACTTTTTCCTTGCAAAGAGGGGGTTCATACAAAACCCCAACAATCATCCTGCCTATGGGCCTGCACAATTACTTTCATTTTCAAATTTTTTCATCTAGACATTTTTTTTTCTGACAGGTTTCCAAATCATGGTGAACATATACCACTTAAATACAATGTAATTTTTATGACCAGGGGGGTAAGAGAGTGATGTGGGAGGTTTACCTCTCTGTCTGACCAGCCAGACTGTGGTTTGTTTGCCTGAATAGGTGATGCCAATGGTTTGTTTTTACTCCCAATGGGTTCAGCCGACTGCTCTGTGTACTGTCTAATGAAGTAGCAAGAAAACATGCTTCATGCAGCATCTTTTTTACTGGGGGTATCTCATTTCAAGAATTCCAAAGCAATGTTTTAATACTTGTCTGGAAATGTTTTTACAAAGCATGTATTTACATAAAATATATAAAATAATAGTATATTCTAATAGTGTTGTTTGAAACCATTTACATGGAAGCAGATGCAAACTTACAGAATTTTTGCTTCAAGTAGTTGAATGGCACATTTTAACCTCTCAGAATCTGTCAACACTACAGCATCATCTGCCTGAAGAAAAAAATAAAAAGCAATCTCATACAAAGCATGGCCATGACATTTAATTTTCAGTCATATAATACTCATGGCCATTTAATTTTCAGTTATATAATAATGATAAATGTGCTAAAGTGAAGCAGTATATTAGACTGTTTTTAAAGTGTTACTTAGTACATAACAAGCAAGAAACTGTACCCGTTTGTTTAAAAGGATTCTCAATAGTAGAATATCTACTGGCAAACAGTAACATATTCAGATCAAATTCACAGTGATCTTGATTTCTGAATCAAGTCAAATTATACAAGACACAAGCAATACTTGAAATTACAACATTAAATGGCATTTTTACAGTTACATTAACACCAAATACAGGGATAAGACTGCTATTTTGTGAAAAAGTCTGAAAATATGACGTGGGGGCCCTCTGCATTGATCACAAAAATTGATATTTTTGACTCCCAAAAAATCAGAAGTCTGCCGATTGTTGGAAAAATCTCATTACTATAAATATCATAACTAAACTAAACAGAAATATAAATATATAGGAACCTCAGCCCATCCTGCCGCCAACATAAACTGCTGAGCACCTGCATATCTCCACACTTTATTACTGAATGCTTTATTTTCCTTCCGTACATGATGGAACTTCTCCTCAGACGGATTCTCAGCAGCATTTCTGTAAAAGAAGTATAGTTATAATATCATTATGGTAATAGATCAATAAAATCACACAAAATGAATTAGGCACTTTTCCTCCCAAAAAGTGTTTTTGGAACGATATGTTGAAAATGATTGCTAATAATTTAAAAGAGAGGAGTTGGTTTGAGGTCATAAGGTATATTTTGTGAGCCCAAAAGTCATCAATCTTGAAAAAGGTTGTGTGTCGTCAATAAAGCTGGGCTATGCGCACACATGCACGCACACACACACATACACACACACACACACCAGATATATGTGTCTATACAAAGAGACAGCAAATCTGGGCTATATAAATACAATATCATTCCACTTAAAGTGAATCACTGCATGACAACACATACAGACCATGGAATACAGGACAAGACCAAAATCTGTCACCCGTCACCAACTTACTTCATCAACTTGAGCAAGGTTTGTAGAGTGGTCCTGAGAATGACAGGGTCTGCCTCCTCCACCAAAATACCTAGACAGGCTCCAAGGATATCCTGAGCCTGAAATAATGTGATGAGTATATGTGTGTTGATTGTACTGTAATAGTTTTAAAACTTGTACAAAGAATATACCAAGGCTTACCCCAGTACATGTACAAGATGGTGATATATGAATCTTGATTTGTTAAGAATTTAATTATAGAATTAGAAAGGATACAAAACATTGCATCCAAGTTCAGGGAGATGTCCACCAATGATTCCCGAGGAGAAGAAAATTGGTTACTTTTCTTGAGAAAAATAAGATCTGGTGATTAAAGCACACACACACACACACACACACACACACACACACACACACACACTTTTAAGAGTTGTGTTCTGTGCCACTTTGTGTCATTATTACAATTGTCAACCCTTCCTGTATATGACAGCGGTAGGGACTACCTCATCTACTCTTTGACCACAGGGTGAGCTAGTTGTCTGTTACCAAATTATTGTATCGCACCCTGTGGAACTTCAGGTATCAGAATAACTTCCAAGCCAGATATACCCTTTGTATTTGTCAGTGGGGTTTTACACCTTGGTGCTGAGTCGCCCACATCCCTTTCAGGCCCGTAGCCAGCAATTTCAAAAGGTTTTATTCCTGAAAATGTGGACCTTTAACACTTTTGTGCACCTAGATCAAATTTTACCTTCAAGGGACCTTTTCCCCAAACTCCCATGGCTTTGGGCCTGGCCTGTCTATATAAGGTTATGCTAGTGAAGCATAGCCTCAGACTTACTCCAGATGCTCAGCTGAGTGACTGCACCCAAACCCACAACTGACCTCCTATGCTGCTGCCACTGCTTAAGGGGCAGTTAGAGGCAGTACTACTTTAGAAGCCCCCCCCCAATATCAGAGGGTATGCTTCATCACCTGTGATTGCCTCAGTGTGAGGTATATCCAAGTTCCACGCTTACCACAAGTATTGAGCAAATCAAGCTAGTCCTTCTTATGATTTTGCTGTAGGGGCTAAAACAGGCACAATTACAGCAGCAGGGGGTCATTAGTTAATTACATATAAATGAAAAAGTAGGATGTCTTCAAGTCACATCTTAGGGCTATTATTTCCAGTGTATTGATCTAGAGAGTGTGTTAAAGGTGCATATGAAGAAAATTGACATTTGTCTAAGCATTGCCACTAAACCTGACCAAATGCCACCATATAGTTTCAAAAAGCATATAATTTACAAGAATAGCTAGCTGATAAATAAGTCAAATTTTCGACCAGAAATTTGAATAAAGTGCAATTCTACAGCTTTTATTTGTCTGACCGAGTGATTAATTTGGTATATCCCATGTAAACTTTATTTGAGTCGTAAAAGAAGCTAGTAGTGGTGATTTTCATTTGTTGCTGCTTATCTACGCTTGCTTCCTACAGTATGTAACATTAAAACTAGCACTATCACGAATCAAACGTAAGTAAATTATACTAAATCCTGATATTTATTTTGTCTTATTTGAACTTTAAAAATCCTTGAACATCTCAATTTTTTAAAAGACACGTAAAGGTAATTTTACTCACATCATCATCATTTTTAGCTGCCATAATTTGTAATATTTTACGATGATGTTGCTTCTTGTTATCATTTCGTTTCCTTCCTCCAAGATTGAAGAGCAACATGAAAAACAATAAAAGCTACAGTACATTCAAAAGCAATCTCATCTCTTTGTATTTCTGTGTATGATTTAATTCATGTCGCATCTGACCAAAAATAATGCTCGAAAAGAATGCTTGAAAGCAAAGATTAAAGCAGAAACTGTGCCCAATACAGGTAAACATATGATCCAAAGGGGATAAAATTTAGTTTTACCTTTCTAACGTTAGACATACTACCTGTAGTATTGATAATATCAAATATATTGTTAATAGAGATAAAATATTGTGAAATCTCATTTTGCAGGCATTTCAATTTTTTTATAGACAAATGCCCGGTTTAGAAATGGCGTTGAATATAAACAGAGACCTTGTTAAACACATGGCAATTAATCGAGTAATTCCACGTAAGTAAAGCAACCATGGGGACCAACTTATTATACAATTTAGTTACCTTTACATTTTTGAAGAGCACAGGAAATGAAAAAATGAGACAGATGAGATATTTTTTTAGATATAAGGCCTAAAAGGCACACGCTGCTCGTTAGACCTTTAGAACGTTAATTTAATCTTAATCACTTCATACCATATTAAACTGTTCACAGAAGCATGATCCATAAACCTGTTTTGAGTTCAGAGTTTCTTGTTTCTGAGACACACTCGTGATGCAGTTAGAGATTGGTGAATTTCACTTGTGATTACAAAAATGGGAAAGCTACATAAAATGAAATTCGTAATTTGTCAACGGTTTTGGATAGGCAATAGCTAGTTGATTAAGAAAAATTGCTGATTTTTTTTTTTTTTTTGCTAACGCACATTTTAAAACATTTTATAACAAACTCGCAAATTAGCTTTTGAAAAGAAATTTGATGTTTTCAATTGTAAAATTACGTTTATCGCTTTGCATACTCTTTTTTATTGATTTTTCTTCTTTTTTATTCAATCTTGAACGAATTTTTTTACTTCCTCATTTCCAAGTTCATTTTGCCGCCAGTCAAATCAGATACCGCATCTTACTTAGATTGCAATGCCCATGGTTTCCAGTTTAAGATGTGTCTATAAATGTGATCGAGGTGTAGTCGCAGTGCTGGGTGGGCCCAGGAACAGTATAACAGTATATTTCTGGTGCAATACCAAAGCCTCTTTTATGATAGGCTGAAAGAGGGCCAAACCCTGAGTTAGGGCGTTATTTAACACCCAATCCTTGAAACTGAAAACCCAGCCGTGGCGGACTGTTTCTTTTCAGGGGACATAAAATCATTCGAATCATTATGCCATTTTACGCACTCACTGACCCCTAATATGGGTGGACGACCACAGAGAGAGAGAGAGAGAGAGAGAGGATGGAGGCAAATCCAAAAACAATGAACTTTGCATCGTAACGAATTGCTACAGCGACAGCACTAGTAAACCATAAAAAGATATGTGGCTCACATTGTACAGATTTGTTTGTTCAAGATGCGTAATTACGACGCAATATCAATACAAATGGAAATACTTCTGCAAAACCTCTTATCTGGCATCTGCTTTACCAAATTAACCATCGATCCTTTTGTATCACGTAAACCCTCATGTACAACACCATCTTCCGTAATTACTAAAAAAAAAAAAGATAAAAAAAGAAATGTAGGCACGCATGAGCACCCACAAGTCTGTGCAACATGACCACAAATCAAGACAAGTTTTATGCCTCAATAGCATTTCAACACGCAATAAACATAACCCTTTCTCTCAAATAACAAGGACTTTTCCCAACTTCAGGTCATAAGGTGCACAGATCACGCACACAGCGCCACGCGGACGCTTCGTACATCGCAGGGGGAAAGGGCGATTTTGCTGATAACGCCCTTCCCCGTTAATAGCGCAATGCAACACCACACTTTGAGTGCACTCCTCGATTGAAATTAGAATGGCAAGTTATTTTAATTAATCTATACGACAGAAATAACACCGTTCTGGCCTCTTATTTCTCGTCACCGGGTGTACGCTCCTCGATTACGCTTGGGGTTGGTTTCACGTCCGCGCTTTCATTAAACTTAAGATTTTACTTCCGGGTTCAGCGTTGCAACTGAGTCCTGTATCTCTCGATGTCAAATTACTGGTCCTAACCCTACCCCCCCCCCCCCCCCGCGAAAGATAAAATAATGATCAGTCTTGTAATAATTGCAGGTGGTCTTAAAATATCCCCCCCCCCCCCGAAAAAATAATAATAATAATAATAAACTTATAACACATGGGGTTTCTAGATGTCAAGAAGAGAGTGTGTCCCGTATATTCCCGTATATTAAGGAGCACCATAGTTTAAACTCTTTTGTATATGGGAAGGGGGGTGGCGAGGGTGGGCGAGAGGGAGTGGGAGCAACCCCAAGTCTCTTTAATCTCTTAGATGAATCAGTTATTGGCACCAATTGTTATTTTCAAAATATGCGTTTTTACCAAACACAGTGACACATTTTTCGGAAGTGGTTTATCCTCCCAAAACAAGCATTTTCGTGATTATTAGAAATTTCGCCGTGGATTATCTTATTATCGGCTGAAAAACATAAGAGATGTAGGCTTTGAGACGTTGAGTAACTCTCTAACTTTAGGTATTTGGGTTGGATTGCGAGTGTACATATTACACATGTAATCCACAGGCTTTAGATAATCGAATTTATAAACACCTGGACTCCTGTCATTAAAAACTCAAATATTAGTAATATTTGACCAGATTTAGGGCGTGTCACTTAAAAATACACCTCCCCTGTATACGGCCATTCACGTCCGTTTAAAAGAAAAAGCAGAATAAAATATCCATTACCCGAAGGCCAAAAAAGCATGTAAAGTGCGATACTTTCAATCACGGGTGATTGGACCTAAAAACAATACACTTCTGAATTTGATCCCCCCACGTTGAGCAACATTTTACTGATAACATACTGTTAAGTACGGTTTAAAAACTTTGCCCTAAAAAGCGTATTCTTTGCTGTAGACCTGAAGTGGCATCTAAATGTATAATACTTTTGTAAGATTTTTAAGGTGGTTCGTTTCGTTAAAGCGGCCTAAAATGGTCAAGATAACCATTTTCTCGTTTCTTTTGTGTAAAATACTTATATAGATACAAGTGCGATCAAATTGAACAGTTTAAGAGCAAAAAAATCAAAATTTCTTTTTTTTTCATTCATTACCTTTTGCGCTTCTGCTTTTAAGCTACGGTTGAGCTTCGTTGTTGTAAGATAGTGATCGGGTTGCGTCTTACCTCCAGAACTTAGATGTTATCACGAAAACTGTTTAGCGTTTGCTTTTGAATTTTTTGTTGATGAGATATGAGCCCCTCACAATGATGTTACATCCAACAAAGGCATTATTTCGCCTCTTTATTGACAAAATCAGAGCTGAGCCTTTCAAGGAGAATTCGTGGCAACGAATCACAGTTTTTATAGTTGCGATTTAATAGGCGTTAAAACGGCCTTGACGCTGTTCAGGCAAGGGTCATCTTAATCTTAAAAAAAAAAAACAAATCAAAAACACAATTTTCACCACAGAAACGCTGTTGTTACATCATCAGCTCGAATTCGCAAATTCGCCCTGTATCTTCAGTGTAACTGTTCAATGTTCCCTTTTGCAGCTTAGTAGATAAGGAATTAGACCCTAACGTATGGAATCACCCTCAAAACCTTTTTGACCGGGTGTTAATGGTGTGACCTGTTTAACCCACGCCACCTTTGCTTCGTTTCTTACACGTTTCTTTCATTTTACAAAATTACCCCATGTTTTCAATAGCCTGAAGTATGTTCGGACCACGTTCTAAAATGCAAGTTAGTCCTCATAATATTGTTCTTCACACGACCATATAAGATGGAGACATTTGAACCAGGAAATCGCCAATCTCTCTTTTAAGCGACGATAGTTAATGACAGGTAACGACCAAACAACAACAACAACAACAATAATAATAATAATAATAATAAAGAAACATCGCCTAAAGTCATTGGACCATTATATTGAAAATTCTTAGCCCCCCCCCCCACCCCCCCCCCCCCGAAGCTCTATTTCTAAATCTATTTGTTCTTAAAAACCCAATTTAGGTCGGTTAGTAAATTTCCCTTAATGCTCACCTTCATCTTCGATTGTTTCGATAGATGATTGAACAAATTCGACTTAAACCCCAGCCCAAATGCCTTGGCATTTGTCTCGTGCAAAACAAAGAAAAACATTTGTAGACAAATGTCAGAAGGTAACACTCTTGATTTTGCTTTCCTAAAAAAGTGTAGTACACTAAATGTCACAGAGTAACGCCCCGAGGTCCATTTAACTAATTGTATTCTTCCTAACTGGAGTTTTTACCACGTGACGGTCAAATCTCACTCCAGCGGGCTTACAACGCGAAATCAAATTTGCCCTGTTGAAGAATCGCACTTTTCAAAATTGAAATGTAAACAAAGCGTGAGAATTCAGTTCCGAATTTTCACCACAAATCAGTCCCTTTTTGTGTTTTTTTTTTTCGTCCGATATCAGCTAGTTTTGGGTAATTTTAAAGTATTTGCTTATTTAAGAAGACTTCCGTAAGTTAATACATAGATTGAGTTAAAAGGAGTGACAATCAGCCCACGCATGCATCTGTTGTACGGTATTTATATCTTGTTAGCAGACAAAATAAAAAGGGAAATTGTACTATTTACGAATGCATTCCATTCCAAGGAACGATGTGGTGGCTACAACTTCTTTTAACAGGTATGTTTAATTGTTTACGTTTCTATGTCTACTTAGCGTTGAAATTAAAAGAAAAAAGCGAAGCGAAGCGCATTTCACTCGGCATCATTACATGATTTTGGTAATTGATTAATTGGGGCTTTCTCGGCAGGTAGGTAATTTTTGCAAATTTTCCGTTACACACCGACAGCCAAATTTAAGTATTCACATAAATGCAATTTATCATGAATTTTTTCTTATGGCTTAATGCGTAGTTACGTGTGATACTCAACTGAGTTATGCTGTTTTTTTTTCATTTCGATAGAAATTTG